AAAAAACAGAAAAAAAAAAAAAAAAACTGCAACCAGTTTTACCACGCGGCCTACAACACACGTCCTGGTCAGTTAGCACATGGCCTGCCCTGCCGTAAGACGCCGACTGCCGCCGGGCGGCAGCGGGACCAGAGACCGGACCACGGCCACAGCAAGAAGGTCTGGGCGGGGGCGAAGGGTTTGAGACCCCTTTTCTATCTCTGCAGGAATTGCCAAGTTAAAAACAGGCATTTCGTGAACTGCAGCACCTCCTCGACCTTCCTGAAATCATCCTTGCTCCGCTCTGTGAACCCTCGCAAAGAGGAGAGCTCCTCAAGGGTTACGCCACGACTGGCGATCTTCTCCGCCCTCCCAAAATCCTCTGTGGAATTACATTCTCAACACTCAACGCAAAGAGATCTCAACCCCGTCACATCCACACCGCTCGCCTGCGTACGCAGGCCAGAGGCGGGATTAAACAGCAGTAGGCCAATCAGAAAAGGCAGCAGGGTTGCTGAGGTGACGTAACTTCCCGGAACAAGATGGCTGCGGCTCTTCACGCCGGTCCACTGCCCTCTCCCCCGGAAGCCCTTATTGTCAGTGGAATGCGGCATGCACGTTCACCTTTTGCCCCAAAAGATACCAAGGAGAAAGCAAGCCAGAGAACAAGGAGATTTACCTATCTGAGGAGTAGATGGGAAATGTAGAGCACGCTTAGATTGCCTTTCCGGAGGGGCCTTGACCATTCCGCTCCCGATTCTTCCTTCGGAAACTTCAACTCCCAGAGGCAGAGGCGGAAACTCTTCTTTGGAGGCTTGGGCGATTGTTGTAACGTCATCACTACTCGCCGAAACCGAATTTCTTGAGGTTGTGAGGGGCGGGGCCTGAAGGTGAGGTATGGGTACTGGGTAGCGGTTGGCATCTTTGATTTGGGGTCTGGGCTGCAGAGGCGTCGGGTTTTTCCCCTGCAGGCGGTGAACGTGCGCCTGCGGGAGTTTGTTCCTTCGTGTAATCGAGTGGGAGTGGGCAAGAGCACTAAGATGTTCCAGCTTTTAAAAGAAAAATGCGAAGCCTAGGGAAGGGTCAGAATTCTTCAGTTGAAGACAAGAGGAAAGCATTTCCTGTAGAATCATTTCTGGTTTATACAGAGAAAGAATACAAGTATCCATGAATTGACATAACTTTTAAGTGAAATTCAAAATAAATATACATTTAAAATTTGGTATTTCCGAGCCTTTTTGTGGTTTAAGTAACTGCTGTACACGTCATCCATTCATTCTTGAGTATTTTTTCCAGTGCTGTTTGGTAAAACATTAGGTGACGTTTCATTGTTTGCAACAGCTGATCTTATGTAATTTTTTGCTGTATATAAACCAAGTTAACTGAGGAAGAAATGAAGCACAATCCTGTAGACTTTTCTATTTGATTTCTCATTTAGCCATATTTCTAGTAGGTCATTGTAGAATTTGAAGATAAAAATAAGATTTGAATCTTTGAGTAGAAGTCTACTCGGTGTGGAAGACATTTGAACATGGTTAGAGGAGTCTGTGAGTAGAAAATTAAATTCATAATTTGAGAGTCTCTAAAAGAATTGAAACTAATCTGAAAACTGAAATTGCTCTTGTGTTAAACTCAATTTTTATATGAAAAAAAAAAACTATGTGAGCTGTAACACTTGTAGGACCCCTTCTGTTTCTAACTCATTTCAAATCTAAATGGTCTCAGTTAACTGAGCATTGGCAAAGAGGCCTGGATCCATTTCTGATTTGTTAGTAGGGCATCTTTTTTCAGCTGCCTCCATATCAGGGCAGAGTAGCTGAGAGAGGATTAGTAATTGAATATGTAGCCTTCACATGTAGGTCATTAAATTCAGGCTGGCACAGTGATGTGCCAGTTCTCAACAGCTGTTCAGTTGGTCCTGTGGGATCTGTTTTATAAATAATTGCACATTTTTCAGAAGTAACACCTGGCATCCTTAGATATTTAAGGCAATTTCTAAGTTACCAAAAAAAAAATCCTTACATTGTAATAAGGGAGTCAAATTCATTTTTGATTTAGCCATTTTATAGTCAAAGGCCAAAAGTTTTAAGATTCTAGACTCAATCCAGAATACCAACAAAATAGCATCAAAAAAATTGTTTCACAAAAGATTAAAACATAAAATGTTTAAGATAAAATCGTGATATGAAAATCCTCACTGATCTGTAAAATTGATGTTTATTAAATACATTTGATACATTTGATGCTTCTTGTTTTACTACTTCTTGAGAGGGCTGATGTACACCATGAGGGCTGTCAGTCACGAAATTTTTCTATAGATGGCATTCATATTAAATGAGTACATTTTAGTTGCTCTTGCCTCAGAGTGGGAGGGGTAAATGAAATGAGGCTATGTCAGTTTGCTTGTTTGTGCCCCATAACTCCATATTGTATGCTTTTAAATAATACAATACAAAACTTATGTAAAAGAAATAAAGTATCTGAGTCAATCACAAAAAGTACCAACCAGCTTAAATAAAATAAAACTTACTTCCAGACAATTGGCAGCCATTTAAATTGGACTGCAGACTGTCAAGCCAGAAGAGGCTACAGATAGAATCAAAATGGTAGGACACAATAAATAAATGCAACTTAAACTCTCAAAGCTTCTCCATATGTTTGTGCATATTGGGCAGTCATCACAAATTCCATTATTATAAATTGAATTCTGATTTTAAGTCTGAGCATATTCTTCAATTGAGAGTGGGGAGGTGGCAGGACAGGGGGCAGAGTAACATTTGTGGGTATATTAATTTTAGACTAAGCCAAAAATGAGCATGACATTTTCAAACATGACCTGAAAAGTTTCTAAAAAGACTCAGCTTCTCATCTATATTCATTTTGATGTGCATTTTTGTTGACTTTAAAAATAAAGATTAACGGTGTTTTTTTCCCCACCAATACCGGGGATTGATCGCAGGATCTTTGCACTAAGCTACATCTCCAACCCTTTAAAAAAATTTTTTTTAAAATTTTGAGACAGAATCTCATTCATTCACTGAATTAACCAGCTGGCCTCAACCTTGCACTCCTCCAGCCTCAGTGTCCCAGAGGGCTGGGATTTCAGGCATCTGTCACCATGACTGGCTTAAAATGTATTTTAAATTATCCTTTCAAGTAATACACAAGTATTGAAGACTCTAAGAAGATGACCAGGGAGGTAGTGCAGTCTCTAAACCTTCAGAATACTCTCATATAAACAGCACCTCTAGAAGAGCCAAAAACAACAATCCCAGTTCTGATCACAATGTAGCTAGTTTAAAAACAACAAATAAAGAATACTGAACTTCACAATATTTGCAGGTGGGAAGAAACTAACAATAGCACCTGTGTGGGAGAAAAGGAGGGAAACAATAGAACACTGGAAGGCCCTGAGAAGGGGAGGCCCCAGACCTGCCAAATAATTTGCTGAAAAGCAAGGGAGATCAATATGAGATCAGAGAGTCACTGCCTCTTAAGATCTGAAACTATAAGTGTAAAGGGATGAGCAGGAAGTTCTAACACTGCCAGACGGATGTGTCATTCAGAAACTCTGAAAGCCAGCCAACTGGTGCTCCATTCTCAGACAAAGCCCAACATTAAGGAGAAACTGCTAGGAGTGGACTTCAAATTGCAAAGGATGGAGACCATAGAGGCAGAGGGAAAAAGCAGGTCCTTGTGAAAGTGGAAGAGGAGAGAGAAATGTGTCATTTTATAAAAGTATCAGAAAATGGATCTAGAATTCTGAGGCCACAGAAGCTGTCCTTGTTTCTTCCTAAATGTATGCAATAACTTTCACCAGGGACAAGGATTGTGTTTGAATTCCATTTAGGATTGTAATAAAAAAGGGGAGATGTGTAGAAGGGAAATCAGGTGAAAACCAGCACCAAATATTTCAAAACAAATTTGAATGAATTTCTAAGTGATGTATTGGTATGAAAGAAACCAAAACTCAAATAAAAATGACTTAAGAACATATTTTTTAAAAGAGTAAAGCTGGGTGTGGTGGCACACGCCTGTAATCCCACCACGCGGGAGACTGAGGCAAGAGGATTGCTGTGAATTTGAGACCAGCCTGGGCAACATAGTGAGTTCCAGGTCAGTCTCAACTACATAGTGAGACCCTGTCTCAAAAAAATAATAATAAAAATTAAAAAATAAAAGAGTAACAACTCAGAAAACAGTATGATGAATAAAAGGGTCCATGTATATTCATCATGATATCTGAAGTCCTAGCCAGTGCAATAAGATATTGAAAGGAGAGAAGAAATAACTTTCTAAATCACCTGTGGCTATGTTTAAAGAAAAATCACCCCAAATCTCTCTCTCTTTTTTTTTTTTTTTTTGGTACCAGGGATGCATGGGCAGGCGGTGGAACCACTGAACTAAATCCCAGTCCCTAAATCTTTATTAATCTTTGTTAAATTATAACAAAGTTTTAGGAAATAAAGTTAATATATAAAACTCAATTGCCTTCCTATATACCATCATTGCATAATTGGAACTTGAAAGTGAAAACAAGATCACCAAAAAAATAAACAGTTATAAATCTAATAACATTTGTATAAGATCTAGATAAAGAATGTTGAAAAAGCTTGACTAAAGAAATAAAATAATATCTAAATAAATGAAGAGGTACGATGAATTCATGGATTGGAAACTCTATGTTGTAGAAAGCACGGTGTCACACCTATAACCATACCTAATGTCCAGATCTTTTCTTCAGTTAAAGGAACCAGACGTGCTTGAATTGACTAATTTTGGAATTGGGGTAAAATCCACAAAATAAGCTGACAGTATAGAAATAATCAAAAAGCAAAATCAAAAACAAAAGTAGACACATTGGTAAGCACCAAAAATACACAGCAGTCGAACTGAAAC